TTCCTTCCTTCCTTTTCTTCTTCTTCTTCTTCTTCTTCTTCTTCTTCTTCTTCTTCTTCTTCTTCTTCTTCTTCTTCTTCTTTTTTTTGGCTTTTTCAAGACAGGGTTTTTCTATGTAGCCCTGGCTGTCATGCAACTCGATCTGTAGACCAGGCAGGTCTTGAATTTAAAGATTTGCCTGCCTCCGCCTCCTGAGTGCTGGGATTAAAGGCGTGTGCCACCACGGCCCTGCAAGAGCATGAGTTCTTGATTCCAGGGTAACCACAGTCTGGAAAGACAGACTAAACAGAATCCAGCTCTCAGAGCCCATCCTGACACTTGTCACCTACCTCAGGAAGCCTTCCATAGTATCTCATCTGGAAGAGAAAGATCATTCTCGTCCTACACACGGGGAAACCAAGGCTCTGGAGGGACCAAAGGATGCTCCCAGGCTCTACATGGCCCAAGTTCCCAAACTGTCACTAGTCAGCTCTTCCTTCCGGACGTCCCCAGCGAGGTCTCAATCTGCACTTAGAGAAGAGAGCCCTTGCTACCCTCCACCTTCTCACACCGTCCCTGGGATTGTCCTAAGGACCCAGAAATGGATGCCCCTCCTCTCCACTAGGGTTAGGGTACCATCCAGGGATGATCCAATGCTTTCAGATCTGGACTGAAACGAAGGCTTTCACTCTTTCTAATTAACTTCCTTTCCACATAAGGCCTGGCCTGGGGAACAAATCCAAATGGTAGATGGTGGGGTGCTTCAGTTCAAGGTGTGTGACCAACCACATGTGATGATATGTTAAATAGACACCTTAGCTAAATAACAAATAGATACTAAACTCCGAAGTACAGTGTTTAGAGTAGCAGGCTTTACAAAGTGGTCAGGATTTATTTAAGGAACAAAAAAGTGAGGGGAAGTTTCTAGATGGGAATTAAAAAAAAAAAAAAAAAAGGACTGATTGACAGAGTCACATGTTTTTCACCCTGGCCTCCATTGGAGGGTGACCTGGAATGTTACTTTCTTTTTTTTCTGAGACAGGATCTCACTGTGTAGCCCTACTGGCCTAGAACTTCATATGTGGACCAGATTGGCTTCAAACTTACAGAGATTTACCTACTTCTGCCTCCAAGTGGTGTTCTACCTTTTTTTTTGTTTTTGTTTTTGTTTTTGTTTTTGTTTTTGTTTTTCGAGATAAGGTTTCTCTGTGTAGTTTTGGTGCCTGTCCTGGATCTCACTTTATAGACCAGGCTGGCCTCGAACTCACAGAGATCTGCCTGCCTCTGCCTCCTGAGTGCTGGGATTAAAGGCGTGCGCCACCACAGCCAGGCTCCTTAGACCTGAAATTATAAGCATGTACTACACCTGGATTTTGCAGTGCTGGGGCCTTGGACATGCTGGGCAGATACTCTATCAACTCAGCCACATCTCCAGACCCCCAGATGATACTTCAAAAGCCCACTCTCACCAAATAGGTGTCAAGATCTGAAACAGTGGAAAAGGTGGGCATGCTGGGTGACAGAGGAGGCTGAGCTGGTGTGGTAGCCAGGTTTTCATTGTTCTGACAAAAAACCTGAGCAAAACAACTGAAGTGCAGAGAAGATTTAGTTATTTAAACTGTCACTGGTTTCAGCCCATGCCTGGCTGGTTTCATTGCCGTGGGCCTGAGATGCGGCTGAATATCATGGTGGGGAACACTTGGTGGAGTACCCAGCTCACCTCATGAGAGAAAGACAGAGAAAGAGGAAAGGCCAGGGAACAAGATGCATTTTCCCAGCATGCACTCAGTGACCTACTTCTTCCAACAAGGCTCCACCTACCTTTCACCAACTCCCAGGAATGATGTCACCTTTTGAACACACCAAAGGTATAATACCCTGAGGAGGTCAGAGCTCTCATGATCCAATCAGTCACTTCCCAGAAGCCCCCAGTACCCAAGCCTGTGGGGAACATTTCATAGTCAAACTCTACAGGTTGGTGATGGAGTTCAGTTGGTAAAGTGCTTGCCTACTGTGCACAAAGCCTTGGTTTCGATCCTCAGCACCTCATAAAGTAGGCATGGTGGTGCACACTAGCGATCCCAGCTCTGGGGAGGTGGCAGCAGGAGGGGACCAGGACTTCAAGAAGCTCCTCAGCCACACACAGAGCTCAAGGCCAGCCTGGGCTACATGAGACTGTCTCCAAAAAAAAAAAAAAAAATCATATTTCAACCCTAACACCTGCCATGACTGCAGGTCTTACCCAAGAGAAAAGTTTGGAGGCATAACCAGATCTCAGCCAGCAGAAGTTACAGAGATGGCTGGATTCCTAGGACTGAAGGGATAAGAAATACACCCAACAGTGATGTTCACCTAAACTGAGAGGTCCCAGCAATGAGAACATAAAGCACCCACAGAAGTGTCAGCAATAAATACATGCCAAGTGAGGGAAACACCAATGCCAGAGCCCCATGCCAGGAACAAGCAAGTGGAAATGTACCTGCTTCTTCCCACTGCAGCACTGCGAGGATCAAGAGCCGCAGCCTGACAAGTAGGAAGGGCCATCGAGAAGGCCGGGCCATCGAGCGAGAAGGCACAGCCATCGGCCATGGAGAAGGCACGGCCATCGAGAAGGCACGTCCTGCCAATCACTTGATCCCAGACAGCTCAGTGCTTCAAAGCATTTACCGATCTGAGTTCAGTTCCCAGCTCCTATATGGTAATTCATAACCACCTTTCACGCCAATTTCCAGGGGATTCATTGCCCTCTTCTGGCCTCTTGCACACATGTGGTACACACACAGGTACACACTCCTATAAAAATAGTAAGTATATATTTATTTGTATTGTATGTGTTTTACCTTCATGTATGTCTGTGCACCAAATGCAATCCTGGTGCTAATAGAAGTCAGAAGGTATGGACCCTCTGAACTGGAATTACTGATGGTTGTCAGCAGTCCTGTGGGGGTTGGGAAATAAACTCAGTCCTCTAGAAAGGCATCCAGTGCTTTTGTTTGTTTGTTTTTTGTTTTTTGGGTTTTTTTTGAGACAGGATTTTTTTGTGTATGTTGCCCTGGCTGTCCTGCAACTCACTCTGTAGACCAGGCTGACCTTGAACTCACAGAGATCCGCCTGCCTCTGACTTTGAGTGCTGGGATTAAAGGCGTGCGCCGCCGCCGCCGCCGCCGCCGCCGCCGCCGCCGCCGCCGCCGCCGCCGCCGCCGCCACCGCCACCACCATCATCACCGCCTGCTATTAAAGTTTTTTTAAGTATCACCTCTTCTAGGTATGCAGCTGGAGCTGGAGACAAGAGAAGCTTCAGTTTTATGTCATCTTTGGACTCTTCACGATCGTACACTAACCACTGAATAACCACTGAGTGGAGACTGTGTTCAGACCTAAGGGAACTCAGACCTTCAGAGGTGCATTGGGATACGAGGAGAAAGACAATGCCTGACAACAATTAGTCGACTATTTCCACACAGCTTGTGTCAGGCTAGGATGTGGCTCAGCTGGTAGAGCGTTTGCCTAGCGTGCACAAAGCAATGAATAAACATAGAGCTGGCAGCACATGCTTGTAACCCCAGCACTCAGGAGGTGGAGGCGAGAGGATCGGAAGTTCAAGGTTACACACTGATTGAGAGGCTAGCCTGGACTACATATAATTCTATCAAAAAAAAAAGTTATAGGGCTGGAGGGATGCCTCAGTGGTTAAGAACACTTGGCTAATTTTCTACAGGACAAAGGTTTGATTCCCAGCACCCACAAGGCAGCTAACAACCACCTGTCACTCCAGTTCCAGAGGATCCAAGAGATGCCCTCTTTTGACTTCCAAGGGCACCAGGCCACATGTGGTACACATACATACATAAAGGCAAAACACTCATAAACATAAAAAAATCTAAAAGTTAGGAGTTGAATGTTTCCAATACAAAAAAATTATATGTTCCTGTGTAGTAATAACCCTGTGTTATACTTGTGTTAAATAGTTACTCCAAAAAGATAAAGATTAACAAGATAAGAACAATTATAGTATCAATTATAAATAGAAGTATTAAAAAAAAGTAATGGGTCTGCCTAAATTTTTATTCTTGTGCAGACATGCCAGCCACAGTGACAAAGGCCTGACCTTGGGCACTCTTCCCTCAGGCCTGCTCCTTTGTC